ACCTGCTAAACAATCATGGAAAGGCAAATTCACTTTCACTCTTCTTTCATGCAAGACAAACACATTCCCCAGACACTGGATCTTCATCATTTTACAGCTTATACGATAAACAAAGTGAGAGATGTAAACCATCTAAGATGGTCTTCATCCCATCAAGTAAAAGGCAAAAAACACAGTCCTAACTTATTTCAGAAACAAAGGCTTAGTACCAGGAAATACACTCTGAGGAGAGAGGGCAAGATGAAAAAGGAATCCTTCCCTCTCCCCACAACACAGAGCTCATCTACAAGCAGGAAGTCACACTGGCTCACTCGGTCCTCCACTGGTGAGTAAAACTCAAAGCCACAGCTGTGGCAGGGCCGAGTGATCACGAGAAAAGTAGCAGAAATGGTTAGGGAGTCTCAGACCAGCATAGGAGTACAAGCGCCAAAAAATATTTTCCCTTTTCATTTCAGCTCCTGCCAAAGTGCAATTTCACATGATTGAAAATCACCTACACTGGGAGTCTGGGGAGCTTCTCCACCCTGCCTTCAGTTCTCTATTTTGCTGTGCTCTTCAAAATGAATTTACAAGGAAGCCTTCGGTCTCACTCTCAGCCACTGTCATTAAATCACTTTTAACCATTTCCCCTGTTCTTTCCAATAAAACTATGTGTCCACTTCCTGTGCACTTTGACCTCCCAACAGACGGAGTGCCTACCACAAGACAATTTGAATGCTGCTGTTGCAGTAACGTAATGATGGGAAACGGACGGCACCTTCAATTGCAGCTCACTGCAATCGTCCAGGATTCGGAATTCAATCTTGAAGATTCCATTTTGCGGGACAGTATGATTTGTGACCTGGACAGTCCCTATTCCTGATCTGTCCTGTCCCATTTGCTCCAGTATAGTTTCTCAGTATAGATTCTCTGTGTCGCCATTATGACTATATGATTGCTTCTTTCTTCGGAGTCAGTTGATGGCCATCAGAACGGGTTACCTTCACCTAAGGTCAAAAGGAAACATTTTAAAATCATTGGATCCAGTCCCCATCTGTGCTGTTCTCATGAAACCAAACTCTCAAAAATCACTGGTTGCGCCCTAACTTCCAGAGTAAGTGGTCTCTCTAAGGCGGCATCCAACTCCACTGACCACTCCCTTCTTGATATTATGGCTTCTTTTGCCTTCCA